CTCTGATAAACAGGAAGTCCACCCTGTCCCTTAAAAACAAGCTTGCTGTCCACAAGCAGATCATTCTACCGGCTATTGAGTATGGTATGCCAATCTGGGAGAGTTGTGCTAAGTGCCACCACCTAAAGCTTCAGAGGATCCAAAATAAGATCCTCAGAATGATCCTTAACAGTCCATCGCGAACTCGTAATTCTGAGATTCACCACCTGGCCGGTCTTCAAACACCCGAGGAGTGAAAGACTTCCACGCTGGAAAGGTTCAAAGTCGCCTGTCTGCGATCAATCCATCAGATCATTTGTGATTTGGCAACCTACACACTTAGAAATAACTAATTTTACACGTGACGGAATCCATCTATGACAGAAAATATGAAACGCAAACAAACGTGTCTTGTAATTTTAAGTGCTCCGAGACTGAAAAGTTCGTTGCTCGATGAAAAGTACGTTTGATTAAGCTATATTTCGCGTCTGTTATGACTCAAATTTATATCAAAATTGACGCTCGTATATGTCAGTCTCAGAGCACCTAAATTTAAATGCTTTTTTCTAAGTGTGTAGTTTAAGTAGTTAGGAAGGTTCCTGTGCTCAAGTAGGTAGGTTATAAAATTCTTAAATTCAAACCAAAACAATCCCATAAAGGGTATCCTGTAAATTAGCGCTAAACGCAATCATCACATTAGAATAACCAATTAATTAGAACAAAGATGAAGAGCCAAAGGCTAACCAATTGAAATGTTAAACCAAATGTTGCCCCGTTACGTGGGTAGATCACCTTTTCGTGGTACGTTACGGGATGTAAGATCTACCACCGATTCCTAGTCTTGTCTACTTCAGACTAGGGGAACAGGATTTTTCAGTAATCAAAGGAACACATCTTAGTCCTTGTTACTTTTTATGCCTTGTTGATAGTGACAAGTCCCCGGGTTGCCTTGACCGAGGATGATCTTGAAACAAGGAAAAAATGAGTTAGTCTTCACCTATGTGATTCCAAATCTTCTATTCATTGTTCCCTAGTTTGAAGTGGTTAAGACTAGGGTTCTGATGCATGGTCATTAACGGTGTCATTGCTTGTTTTTGTTGCTAAGAGATCCAATTTTGATTGACAAAGGAGCGCGCCTTTGGAGGGTGTTCCAACACTCCGAAGGGTATAAATAGCGGGACCTTTCAATTAGAGTCGGATCCTTGCGATAAATGCGAGAATGACAACTGTAAAAAAAATCGAATGCTTCATCATTTCTCAATAGTGATGGAGTAATACGACATGCACTAAACTAAGGACACGGGATATACTACAATAGAGCAAATTACTGGTCGCAGTGGTTTTATGTTCCGAACAAAGGAAAATAAAAAAAAAAAAAACCAAATGTTGAAACATTAAAAACCAGAAAACAAACGTAAATTTTACTACTACTACTGCGAAGCACTGCACTAGGACAAAATCCTTTAAATATATTATTTTCTTAAATATTTTTTTTATCGATTTCCATTAATTTTCTTATAATCCTTTGGTACCGGTAATTTACCGGTACTACCGGTACTGAACCTCCCAGTACTGAAATACCACTACTCGCCAAAAAGGCCGGTACTGACAACCCTAATCGTGACACATTCTGCTTCCGGACATCTTGAAGTCCCTTGTCACTGGATTTGTCTCTACTGTTCTTACAACTTCGTAGACCGTTATGCATCACACTGTTGCTCTCATTTAAGCCCGTCGTTTGTTGCTTTGTTGTTACAGTTTCTCTGAATCGAGAGAGGAAACTTGTATGTGGATTACTCCTGCTCCAACTACTATCTCACCTCGATAGCTCCTGGGCTGAAGGTTCTACCAGGTGTCCACAGACTCGGGATTAGAGACTACGAGATTTCACGACTTCAACATACGACATTCATACATTCATATAATAGCCGAAACTTACTTGAGGAAATAATACGATGCGGTAACCATAGTATAACGGCATAAGACATACAACTCACAAACTAAGATCAATGACGCCTGAGAGGACGATAGGGATGCGTTGAAACAATTAAACTAACAAAGCAGCGTTGATTGTACTCACATTGTATTCAGGTACATTCTCCTAACGTCCCTATCCATCCTAATCTTTCATTTTCAGGGGCGTCCCCCTTAATCCTACACCTCGCAAGTATGCCGCTGAGTGCCGCTTCCGTCTGCTGTTGGACAACGCTTTCCAATGGCGTGGTCGTTCGAACGCCTTTGAAAATCTTCAAGGCTGGGCCTAGCCGCCCCCGACGTAGTCGAGACCGTCACCGACCAGTGCTTCTCGGTACGAACTGCGAAGAAACTCCTCGGAAGGCCTTTTCTGTTCGCGTTTTGGTGATCACAAACGTCTGTACACTCTGTGCAGTTTTGTAGCCTCGATGTGTATTCGCACTCCAGGAAATCTGCGTGTATAGGTGATCTCGTGATATCGTTTAGCGTCAGCGAGTGATGGCGAATTGAGCTTTTCGTGCGTCGGAGATCCTCGACGAGATGAGGGATGCCACCCACGATTCCTGTTCTAGTGGTGAATCTGGAATTTTCACTTACGCCGAACGATTGTTTTCGCCGTCAGTGCGTCGTACCGAGGCCTTACAGTTTGCTACCCTCGTGGTGAGCTCCTTCCAGTGGCTAGATTGTCGTAGTTCTACTGTTGGCTCTCGTCGATTGGTCTCGGATGTTGAATCCAGTGGGTGTTCGGAGTTTTCCTGTGCTACGAACGGTCCGATATTTTCGACGCACAAAACGACACACGTTCTAACGTGCGGCCGGCTGCTAGCAAGCGATTACTTTTTCTGACCGGATATTATTATCCAATCCGAGAGCTGGTGGCGATCGCAGCTGATGGGAGTCGCAAAGTTTGCGTTTTGGTTGTCGGAGTGGCAGTGTTGCCGCTTCGCTTGCAAAATGCGCATAATGGTTACACTGTATGCTAGATGGTTGCCGCAATCTTCTCAATTTCTTTCAGAGTACGGTTACGCTTTGGAATGGCCTTGCGAAGTTTATTCGTTCGACATCTCTCCGCAACCACGTCCATCAAATAGATTTCGTTCAGTATTTAACCAAAGACTTCCAGATCATTCCAGGTTGGCGAAGACGAATAATGTAAGGTGAGAGTCAATACATATGAGTAGGGTAAACTCTCCTACAGTTGCGGTAGGTTAGAAGCGTTAGGTTCGTATAGTTGTGTATTGAGTCTCCATGCACAACTATAGGAACCTAACGCTTCTAACGTACCGCAACTATAGGAGCGTTTCCCCTAAATGATCTATCTGTGTTCTTTCATCCTGATCTCTGAAGTTCCGGAAATTCACAGAATCCTATACATCTGGGGCACCAACAGATAACATTTTCCAAATAAATGGTAATCATAGCATATGAATTCCCTTGACAAAGGACGAAAAAATGCGAATACAGGTCTAAATCGCGTTGTAGAACGGTATTTATGCTGTGCACTTTAACTAGTCTAATGATCTAGGCAACATTTCCCTGTTCTATATAGAGCGATTACCTTTCTACCGTCCCACAATACAACAACCAGTAAAACGATTTACAGCATACCCAACCTTTCCTGGTGATTGATTGCGCTTTGACTCGAATGGTCATAAATTAAGCTATCGGCATTGATCTCCGCTGCAACTTGCAAGTGACGTAGGCCTTACAACAGTAGGTTCCCGCGGTTGGTTGCGAATCGGATGATGACGATGATGGGAGAGATACGATCTCCCTCGCCACCATTTCCCGGCTAATGGGGGGGACTAAAGGGATTGATTCATTCGCAATAGTTGCCATTAATCTTTTCAAAGAAGAAGAAGTAGAGAACAAGTGCAAAGTGCACACTTTTCAACCTGTGTGTGTGTGTGTGTAGAGAGTAGATAATATCGTGCACGAAAGTCGTTAGAATGCTAGCAAAGCAAAGCAGCGTGGAGAGGTGTGGTTCCCCTTCAGCACAGTTCTGGGTTCTTCGGACGGAGAAATGCTCCGTAAACCGGTGAGCGGTGGTGGTAACAACTTGATTGATTGCAAGGTATCAATTTCAGCTGGTTGATGGTGTAATGGAGTGTGTCATTTCGGAGATAGACACGGGAAAGGTGTCTGTCGCAAATGACAGGTGTGTAAAATTGCCGGGTTTGTATAGAACTTTAACAACTACATTTGTTTGACTCAATTGGATTCGTGTTCTGTCTTGGGAAAAACGTTCTCTGATTGAAGTTGGTTCGCACGATTTCATGTTTTATGTACTGATCGCTTGATTGGTTCCAAAAAAACTGGTTGAGCCAGAAGTGCAGCAAGAACTGGTCATTTGAAAGATTGCACCATGGATGTTACTTGATTTACTAAATTGACCCGTTTTTCAGGTTTATGTATCACTGATTGTCACTATTCACAAGCTGATAGATCCAATCTACGTTTGAAGCCGTTTGGGTATAGTTTATGATGTCAATTAATTTTGAGAACTGGAACGAGTGAAATTTTAGGAGATTTTATCGATTAAAAATTATCTTGTTTACATTTACATATCTAATTTTGTAAAACAAATGTATCCATAGGGTCAAAGTGTTGATAATTTTGGTCAAAGTTTAGGTGTTACGCTTTAATTGACATGATAATGTACCTGGATTGTGTTATAATTATTGTTAATCATTTAAAAATGAGTAACAGAACGTATCAATTTGATGTAGTGAAACCAAACACTTTAGACTTCACGAAACGAACAAGCTTCCAATAACGAAAAATCCTTCAGGCGCTAAGTTACAATTCTCAGTGTAAGGTAGTTGTTGCTTGCGCTGCATGAATCATTGTTATTTTAGATATAACCTGCTTTGATGCATCGCTGTCGAAGTTTATTGAACTCAATTTAATTAGGTTGACATATTATGTCTCCTGTCCAAATCCAGTTCTAAAATCGATCAACGTTGGATTTTGTATAAAAGTAAGCTGGCTTAGGTTTTACATTCACAATTCGTCTTCACTCAGTGCTGTAAAGGACGTATTCAATCATGAAGGTAAACAATAAGATTTCATTTCCAATCGACCCAAGCTAATCGTTGATTCGATCGTACAGTGCATCATAGCTGCAGCCGTAGTGGCTCTAGTCTTCGCCGCCGCTGAAGGAAGCGTCGTTCCCGTGACCTACTACAGCCCTGGCCTGGTCCAACAGGTAGCCGTGCCGTATACTTATTCGTATCCTTATGCGTATCCTTATTCGTATCCATATGCCGCCTATCCCTATGCCTATCCGGCACCCGCGGTCGTTGTTACCCCGCAGGAGCCTCGCTACACGGCCGTCAACCGTGGAGCCTATCATGATGCTCCACTTCCAGGACACGCCGTTTCCCAGCAATCAGTAAACATTCAACCGGCTCCGGGCACACTGTAAAAACTTGAAATCTTGTGGATGAAGATTAGCGCAAGTCTGAGACGTGAAAAGAGGTGTGCAATAAAAAAAAATTGTCCAAATTGATGTGAAAATGTGAGTTATTTCTTCATAAGTGGGTTAATTTTTGTTTGGGATTTATCTTTGCATGTGATCGCTGAACAATAATAGGTGAGAACTAGATTACATTAGAGAGAAATAGAACAAGAAAACATTATAACTTGCACAACACGAGAAAAAAGGCCTATCATTGTTGATCGATTCTCTTCATCGACTTTCTTTTTGGTCTACCACGGCAACTTAAACGAATTTATGGCTAAGCTCGCAGCACAGTTCGACAGAAGATGATTTTAGCTTGCGCCTGAAATAGCACACTGAATGGGAATTTCATTTGCAGTCGGGTTATTAGCGAAAGAGAAAATCGTTGAAGAGAATCGATCAACAATGATAGGCCCTTTTCTCGTGTTGCGCGAGATAAACTTTAGTATATTCAGATGAAAATAACGGAAACATCTCATCCAATCTTATACTTTTGTACTCTTACTGTCCTGATGTACCACTGTTGATTCCTAGACTTTTCCGGGCTATTGTCAGATTAGTTTCGAAAATCTTCAGACCCATCATATTATCATGGGGAAGCAACTTTCAAGTACAAAAATATCACTGAAGTCACCCAACGTCTAAAACCGGAAAAAAGCACTAGGATGACCAATGGGCAAATCTGTGCTGGAACTTGCCCATTCCCACTCGTTCCCAGCGGCTCTTCGAAATTATGTCTTATGTCGTTTTCGTTTTTGCTACACTACACCGGTGTAGTGTAAGCAGTAATAAGTGTGAGTCATTGACAGCTCATCATGATTTGTTTGTAAACAAAGGTGCAACCGATAGCTACACCACAGATAAACAGACATAACACATTTAATACTTCTCACTGTAAAACATCGTCGCTAAAACACTTCCCCCATCTGTTGAGTACACTGTGATGGGCAGTGTGCTCAATAGATGGCAATAGTGTATAAACGTTAAACACAAGAGAATTTACTATGCACGCCACAAGTGGCGGTACTACCAACTACACAGATAAAAATTCTGAATTTTAATAGAGATGTAAGCATTTATTCACGTAAAGTTGTACACTTAGGTCTTTTTTTACACGGGGGATACGGTCCGTGTAAAAAAAAAACCGTGTAAAAAAAACCTACGAGATTTTGATTTTTCGCATGCTTAAATGTCTTTAAAAATCGGATTTTGATGCCATTTGTAATTAAAGCATGATATGGTCCATATAGACATATTTTAAAAATTTCTATATTTACACCAAAAATTGTGATTTTTTTTTAAGTATGCCATTCGATTACAAATAGCTTGAAACGGATAATGTGATTGGAATCAAGTCGATAGGTTGTATCGTTGTCGAGAAATCGTTAAAAACGTACCGTGTAAATCGTGGAAAACCGTGTAAAAAAACCGTTGAAAAATAACCACGTAAAAAAAAACCGTGTAAAAAAAGACTTCAGTGTATTTCATTTCACGCAATCGAGCAACTTGTAAACAATGTTTTTAAAACAATGGGCTTTTGTATACAATATTTGCTACATTGCATGAAATGTCTCAGAACTTTACATGATATATAATGTAAACTTATATGATATGTGGAGCTCCATTTATGTGCATCATACTGAACAGAAATTTACACTACTTTTTCGAACTATGTAAACATTTAAATTGAGCGGTAATTGCGTGTTCGATGAACAACTTACGAGTGTTGTGTCGGTTTGTCTGTGGCTAAACCCTAAATTTTTTCGGTGTTTGGTGGTGTAGCACCGGTGTAGCTACACCGCAAAAACGAAAACGACATTAGACAAAGTAGTAGACATCTGATTACAGGTGAATAAATAAACAGGAACGAACTCACCAAATGAACGATGGTTTGCCCGTGCAGCAAAAACTTAAAAGACCATTGCATTTCCTAATTCAAGCTCATCGCTTCACAAAATTCCATCGGATCTTCAATGAAACTCTCGCACAATCTGCCTCCAATCAGAATCATCGGGTTAGTAGTAGTAAGCGTGACTGCTTTCTAACACCCCAATGGGTCTGAATTCAATCCCAGCCGAGGCCGGTGGGATTTTTCTGAGGCATAAAAATCTCTGGTCACGTCTTCCTTCAGAAGGGAAGTAAAGCTGTTGATCCCGGCCCCATGTATGTTGTGAATGGGTGCGATATCCTACGCAGGTGTGGAAGCTGCCTTCCTGCACATTCGGTTGTCGTCAATGGATGGCAATCGATGTCCGTCGGTGATTGGCACTAGAGTGCGAAACAGAGACCGACGTTAAATAAAGAAAAAAAAATCAGCCTGCCAACCGTCAGCCTGCCAACCGTCAGCCTGTCAATCGCCTAATAACAGTTCTGACGAAAAGGATTCTAAAAAATACCACGTTGGAATGCATTTCACTTGCTTGCCACTAACATTCTTTTATAGAACTATGTTATTGAGTGGCCCTTTGTTTCGAGCTAAAACGCCATGAAAATATCAATTCCAGAAAAGAAACCGACAATTTGACACCCGGAAATTTTTAGCATCGTACAGAAGTGCTCTGCTTCGATGTCTCATGAGCTTCGATTGTCATGTCATGTAATGTGTCATATCGTTTTCAACACACAACTTAACATATTTTGATCTTATTTAGTGATTTGGCAAGTTAGTCATTTTTGCTGGGTTCTGCAGATTCAAGCGATTTTGTGTTTCTAGCCAATAGAAATCTGCTTTCACATTTTCTCGTTTGTCGAAGTGTTCCGCTCTTCTTCAGATGATTCTCACCAACAGTTCTAAGCAAGGAGTGCTGGTGACTTTATTGAAGTTTGTTTACATTCTTGTTTAGTGTTGAAGTCCTGCTGGTAATGGTTTTTATTTATATATAATTATTTGATACGAAAAAATATGTTTTATTTCTATGAGACGACAATACTAGATTGTACAGAAGAAACGTAGCTAAACTTGTTGCCTCTCTGATTGTTTGGCTGCCTTTGCCTATTCAGATTGGTACCCAGTAGACAATCATATTGAGTGAGCACGGGATTGTAGTTTTCGGATTGTACTGCTTCTGCTGTTCAGAAAATGAAAGTAATATGATTTGTAAAAGATAGCACTATATTTAATCAACTCTCTCGGATTCGACATTTGCGATGACTCAATTTTATTCTCAGGAGGTCAGATTATTCAAACGGCAATCGCTTCAAACGGTTCCCGCAGCTGGTTCCACGTTCAGCGACTGCTGCGAAACGGTGTGTCCAGCGAGTGGAGCATCATGGACGGCTCCACGGTTGGCGGCCACATAGCGAGCTTCCTTCTGGGCAACGACGGCCACGGTTGGCTGAGCAACGATGGTGGCAGCTGGGGCGACCACGTGGGTGGCTTCAACGACATCCGAATCGAACGAGTTGTATGCCAGGACCGGGGAAGCAGCATAGGCCACTGGGGCGGCGTAACGTGGGACAACATTTGACTGGATGAGGGTGGTGTGTGGAGCGGTGTAGGTAACTGGGGCGGCATAGCGTGGGACAACGCTGGATTGGAAGACGGTGGTGTGTGGAGCAGAGTAGGCAACCGGGGCAGCGGCATAGGTGGTCACCGGAACCGATGCGACGTATCGAGGAGCCACATTCTGCTGGACAACGGTGGTGTGAGGAGCAGAATAAGCCAGTGGGACCGAGTAGGACACGACGCTTCCTTCAGCAACAACGGCCAGGGCCATCATGACTACAGCTGCGATGCACTGTTGGATGAGGAAAAGTGATTAGATTGAAATGGACGCTGAATATCGTAAGAAGACTCACCTTCATGATTGTTGATTTCTTGAGGGATTGGTCGCTGAAGGACTTGAAGATTGTTGCAGTTTCGAGTACTGATGAGGTATGTCTTCCCAGTGATCCTTGGCGTATTTATATATCGACTAATTTTGCCGAATACCTCACAAAGCAGTGAAAAGAAAACATAAGCAACCAGTGGATAACTGGTTCCCGAATCAAAATTTGGCGCCAACTAAAATCAACTAACAAGCAATGTTGCAAAAAATGTTTATTTGTGTGACGGCTCAAACTCTTGCTTATGGCTAGTTATTGTTTGCTTTATTTTGTGCCTATTCGTGTCAGCAGCAGAATCAGGGAGTTTTCGATACTTGATGTTATTTATTTTTTTATTACACTGCTCATTTTGGGTGTCATGCGTATCTCTCACTTAATTCTTACCGTTTATAGAATGATCAAAGTGCAATGAATGTAAACAAATCAAGTTTTGCCAGTTCCCACCTTTCGTAGCTTTTCGTTCATTTTATTTAAGATCTCGTTTGAATTGATTTATTTGCTGATCGCGATTTTGCTATCGCGTGGCAAAGATTCAGTGGCTCGCATCATGCATGGTAGCATCAGCGATGCTTAACCGACTTGCCTGTTAATGATTCCCGATTAAATTTTGGCAACCAGTTTCGTCATACATGGCTTCCTGGTTTAGGTGGAATTCCTGTGACTTCCAATTCTTCGATTCCTTTGAGTATAAAAGCAAGAACCAGCATATTCTCAATAATCAGAATCCATCAGTACTCGAAACTGTAACAATCTTCTAGTCCTTCAGCGACCAATCCCTCAAGAAATCAACAATCATGAAGGTGAGTCTTCTAGCGATATTCGGCGTCCATTTAAATCTAATCACATATTATCATCCAACAGTGCATCGCAGCTGTAGTCATGATGGCCCTGGCCGTTGTTGCTGAAGGAGGTGCCGTGTCCTATTCGGTCCCACTGGCTTACTCTGCTCCTCACACCACCGTTGTCCAGCAGAATGTGGCTCCTCGGTATGTCGCATCGGTTCCGGTGACCACCTATGCCGCTGCCCCAGTTGCCTACTCCGCTCCACACACCACCGTCTTCCAATCCAGCGTTGTCCCACGTTATGCCTCCCCAGTGGCCTATGCTGCTTCCCCGGTTCTGGCCTACAACTCGTACGA